GGTATTTCCCACAAGAGAATGGCAAAAGAGCAGCTACAGAATCAGGTATAATTACCTGTATGCATAATCAGATACTAACTTTTTATTTAAAGAACAAATCCCTAAACAACTTAATTGCTTGCTGACCTGACAAGACTATTTTCTATTTTTAAGACTTTGTAGACGAAACACTCAACAGAGGCCTTAACACTCACAAGATTATTTTCTGCTGTCTTATCACTCACTTCTCCTCAATACAGCTATTTCTTTACATACTTTCCCTAATGAAATGACCTTAAGTGAGTTCAACTAAGAAAACTTTTGTTTCAATCAGTTGAAAATTTTCTTTTTTTTCTGAGACGGAGTTTCGCTCTTGTTACCCAGGCTGGAGTGCAATGGCGCGATCTTGGCTCACCGCAACCTCTGCCTCCTGGGTTCAGGCAATTCTCCTGCCTCAACCTCCTGAGTAGCTGGGATTACAGGCACGCGCCACCATGCCCAGCTAATGTTTTGTATTTTTAGTAGAGACGGGGTTTCACCATGTTGACCAGGATGGTCTCAATCTCTTGACCTCATGATCCACCCGCCTCGGCCTCCCAAAGTGCTGGGATTACAGGCTTGAGCCACCATGCCAGGCTGAAAATTTTCTAACGTAAAATGTATTAGTTCACTTTCTCCCCAAGAATGTTCTAATTAACATAATAAATACTCTCAATGATTTTAGGTCTCATTATAACAATTTACTATGATACTACAGTAGAGTTAAAGTTATAAAATACTGACATGTTAATGGTGACCCCAGGTTACTCTCTGGATATCTGCTTGACTTTTGGAAAACAAAACCTAGTATTAGCTTGTTTTCTTATAATTTGCCCTCATTTCTTCCACACATGAATTATAAAAATATTTTGAGACAACTGATGTTCTGATTAGTTAGCTTCTGGTTACTCATGTTTCAATTATATTTGTGTTATGTCACACTTTCAATTTCCAGGACTTTTGCCTTGTGAAAGAAATAAAATACAATTCACCTCAGGTTTATGCTAAGTAGTAAGTGAGTTCAGATAATTTTCTCTACTCACTAATAATCAAACCACTTAGGAGTAATGGCTAGATTAAGTTTCCAGGTAGTAAAGAACAGAATTAAGCCTATTTCACTTAAATAAAAAAAAAAAAACAACTGGATCTGTATTGCTTTGCAGAATTTCTCCCACCCTCTTTTCATTTTTTGAGACAGGGTCTTGCTATGTTGCCCAGGCTGGAGTGGAGTGGTGCAATCATGGCTCACTGCAGCCTCGACCTCCTGGGTTCAAGTGATCCTCCCACCTCAGCCTCCTGGGTAGCTGGGACTACAAGTGTGTGCCATCACGCTCAGCTAATTTTTCTATTTTTTTGTGGAGACAGAGTTTCCACATGTCGCCCAGACTGGTCTTGAACTCCTGGGCTCAAGCAATCCACTTGCCTTGGCTTCCCAAAGTGCTGGGATTACAGGTGTGAGCCACCATGCCCCACCAAGTTTTCCCTTTAATGGAATATTCAGTACAAAGAAAAGAGCTATCTGAAATAATTACATT